AAAGAGATGCAGAAAAGCATGTTCATGCAAACATTTTTCTCCTTATCACCCCTAACTAAAGTCTTAATAAATGCACAGCGTTTTGGGAGGTATACCGGCTTCTGCCAGTGTGACACATATTTTGAGCGACGAAAATAATAAATAATTTTACTTTTGAATTTCAAGATCATGATAGTCTTCCAACTTAGAACCACAAGTCAAAAAAAGAACTAACACAAATAAAATACACTTCAGTTAAATAATTATAATTTATTTTCCCAAGCCACGTGGAGCCGCAGTATAAGGATGAAAGAGCCGTATGCAGATCCGGAGCCGCAGGTTACCGACTCCTGTTCTAGAAGAACACATGGATTGGTCAACATTCAGTTCTTTTAGTTTCCTATACTTTTTCTGCATTTTTGAGTCCTCAGAGCTTCAGAAGTAATCTTCTGGAAATTCAGACAAGCGTGATGCCAGACAGGTGAGTATTCCACAGAGTGAGCTCAGCAGCAAGTGGAAGAGGTGAGTAACTCAGTGTGACATGGGCTCCTGTCATGACTGCTTGGAGGGAGAAGAGATCAAAGTTAGTCTCAATCAAAACATACAACAGAGACTTCATGGCCTGGTGACAACCATAGGATAGCTGACAGACTGGCAGAGAACTGGAGGAGACGCTGATGTTAAATACACCTGATGATTGCCGGCAATGATGAACAGATGAACGAGGCAGGTGTGGACTCCGGGCTCCACCTGAACAGACCAGGCCGGAGCGGAAAAACACTGAACACTCACACAGACCATGACATCAAGGACATCAAGGACAGAACCAGATGCTGGAAGGCGAAAAAAATAGTGTGAAGGTATAGTACAGACGTCACAGGAGCTGTAACTTTTCACTCTGGCTTTATTCATCTCCACACAACAACTGAACAAGGCAGGTGTGGACTCCAGGACCAGGCTGGAGCAGAAAATATGATTCATTAAACATGTTTGTGGTTGTTACAGTAAAAAAAAAAAAATACTTCTTCTACTCGGATTTTATGTTTTTTGTCTGATTTTTAGATCAATTGTGTTAATGCAGTATGTCAAAATGAAACTAGTAATTAATTACTTTTTTAAAGTAATTTGCCCAACACTGGTCTTACGTTTTCTCCAAAACTCACAAACCAATCTCTCTGGGGTGATTGCATTGATAAACTCTTTTGCAAGAATATCAGATTACTCAATTAACTGGTCAAAATCTACAGTCCTTCCAATTAATTGCTCCTTCCATAATTCTTCTTCTACACCGCTGCAGTCTGGAAATATAAAATATTTAGGTATTAACATTTCTCCCAAGCTTGCAGATTTAACTAAATTAAACCATATCCCACTTTTAAAGAAAGCAGAAGGCGATCTGGCTAGATTGAAATATCTACCCATATCACTCATGGGAAGGGTTGCCGCTATAAAAATGATAATCTTACCAAAATTAAATTATTTATTCTCAATGATCCCAACTAAACCGCCACAAGATTGGTTCAGGTCTCTAGATTCATATACAGTGGGGCAAAAAAGTATTTAGTCAGCCACC